CACCGGAACGCGAGAGGCTTCAGCCCCGCCGCGGGAAAGCCGCCAGGATGGGCGAGGGGAACTTGCTCTTTCTACCACGTTTAGCGAGTAACGCTCTTACAGTTCCAAACGTTCATACAATGCCTGCGTTTTGCTAAATTAGACCGGCCCTGTACACGGATCAAGCATTTCAAAGAGTTCAGGTTAGAACAAATGCAAATTCAAATGCACTTTAAAACTGTTGAACTCTAAAGGAAACTCTGTTAGCCTGCCCGGCTGAACTGCAACAGTTTATTCTAGCCTTAAAGGTGTTGATGATTTTAGAGTCAAGAGTGTGACACGCTTCCGTGCATTTAAAAATATTTTATTATAAGATGCCATGTTCCAACTTTTTCCAGCTCTGGACTGTCACTGTGCTGGTACACCTGCCTTAAGAAGTGATTACTGTTCCTTGGAAAATGCTCCCAACAGTCTCCATTTTACTCATAGATTCTTCGTGGCTCACGCAGAACGACACCACCCTCCTCCATAGCTTTTTCAAATTCCTGAATCTTGTTGGAAAAAAAAAAAAAAAAGAGAGACAGGGATAAGTACAAAGAAAAGCCACCAGCACCGACCGATCAGCGGGGACCTGGTTAGGTGGAGGGGCAGAGGTTAACAGCCCCACTTTAGCACAATGCCAGGAACTGCAGCTTGTCAAAGTTACCCTTCTGAGTGCTTCGAGAAGGGACTGACAAGCCGCATAAGAAAACTAATGGTGAAGAGGAGTAAAATCAGTGCTTAAAAAGGAGAAAGCATCAGGAGATGGGTACTTGCCGAGTCACAACGATATTCCCAGGGGATAACAGCTTTAAAGTTCACGAAGTTGATTCCAGCCTCCAAACAGCGCTGTGCCATTACGCGGCCGAGGTTTTTGCATGCTGTTACTCCCTTGGGACTGTAAAGGTGTCTCTTTATGGCCCACTCTCGGGTAGAGGCAGATACCACGACATCCCCATTACAGCGCTCAACGAAGGCTTCTACATAATGCTGCGTCCGCTCAAGCCGTAATCTGAGTGAAGGAAAGAAGTAAGAAGGGATTACGATGTCTTTTCCAGATCTAAAAAGAGAACACATTCAAATGCGTGCATGCGTGACTCACTTTAAATAAAACAATGTACCAGAAGTGTTAATAGAATAATGACTTCTTAGTATCATTTTTAATATCTCATCTAGATTTTTGCTTACTTTAGGACATAAACTAGGACTCGTTTTACCAGTTCAACCGGGTGAAATTCTGAGAGCAGCTTCTTGCCAGTT